CTCCCAAGTAGAGAGTAGCCATTCACTAACCCGAGCAGAGGGCTCTTGAAATGCCTTCGGGAGAGTGGGGTCGACTGGAGGAGAAAGGGTAGCACACTGTAGATAAGGATAAGTGCGAGCCAGGTCCCAAGGAGAGTTGACCAAACCGGGGTCATCCCAGCGAAACTGAGCATTGGAGCGAGCAGTGGCCTCCAGGACAGTGAGATCACATGGTTGGTCACGAGCTTGGAGGAGGCGAAGCTGCTCATTGAGCTCGGCATGGTGGCGCTCGTAGGCACCTCCACGTTGTGGAGACCGGCTATAAATGAACTGCATTTGGATAGAATAGGAGAGGCATAGACATCGGAACTCAGAGCCCCGGAAGGACTGAGAGTTGTCACACCGAAGGCCTTTAGGAACCCCTGCAAGGGCCAATATCTTCTTGAAGGCCAGCGTAGTCTGCTCGAAAGAGGTGCTAGAGACCGCTACAGCGAGCTGGTGGCCCGACAGCAGACAAGTAGCCACAAGACAATAAGGGAGCCGTTGAGAGCCTTCTCTTACTGGGACATCATAGGGGCCGGTGTGGTCGAGACCGATATACTGCCAGACAGCTGTAGGAGCCGCGAAGGTGCCAGCAGGAGCATGGAGAGGGCGCTGGGACTTAGCGGAGAGACAGGAACCACAGTGCGCTTCATGCGGGTGCAGGCATGATGCCATCCGTGACACTTGACAACCAGCAGTCGTTGAAGAAGAGTAGACTGCTTCGGTATGACCAACTGGTTGAAGATAGTGCCATCACCCGCTTGACGTGTCGACCGATAGATAAGGCCTTCATCAGTCTTGAAGTGAAAGGGCGACTTGTGGAAGGCCTTCAAATGGAGGCGTTGTTGATGACGTATAAGCAGACGCAAGGGATCGGCGACCGTGCTTGTGCCGGGAGCTGGAGTGCCTGGTAGCAGCTCCGTCCTTAAGGCATGCCACGCCTTGACGAGGAGCTTGAAGCGGAACAGTCGCTCAAGAAGATGAAGCGAGTCGTCGTCCACTGTGAAGGCCTCCTGGTCAGTCTTCTTACTTTCACTAGCGGGACTAGGGGTCCTCGCTGTACTAAGTGACGCCAATGTAACCTTGGGTTTTGAAGACTCCTTCTTGGACCAACGCGTGGGGAGAGCAGTAGGAACATACTCTGGGTCAAGGCGGAAAATCATAGGACTGGCTTGTAGATCACCGTCGTTGCATCGCAGAAGGTCATCGTGGAAGGCTCGGATGTGGCAGAAGAGGGCGTCGGAGTCAATGAACAAAGACTTCGGCTGGCACCTTGAGGGAGCATCGGCCAGGTTAGACTTGCCGCCGAGATGCGATACCGCCACACGAAGGCCTTCACGACGGGTCTGTGACTGGTGGATAGCGTTCTTCACCTTGAGGCACTCTCCGGATAGTCACAAGGTCGTCTACGCTGTGGGCCGTGGTCGGAGTCACTTGACGTAGCCGAGAGATAGAGATACTGCTGTCAGTGAAGACCAGAAGATGATGGACAGGAGAGTGGTCGTTGGACTCCTGAAGCATAGCCGATGCCCACTCCAGCGATGACGCCAAGGTGTCCAGCTCAAACTTGGGGGCCGTACGACGTCCTTGGAGTTGGTGGAGATACCCTGAACCTGCAATACGCTGGCCGTGGAGGTCGTACAACAGAGCAGCGCCTGCGGTGTCACGGCTGTCTGTGAAGAGACAGACAGAGTTGCAGTGACTTTCACCTGGTCGACGTAGACGTCGGGGGACCCTTAGGTCGAAGGCCTTCAATTGATTCTCCCAGGCGACAAGAGCCTGGGTGTCCTCAGAGCGGAGGTGACCAGTGTGCGGGTCGGCGTTAGACTTGGCTTGGCGGCACAGG